AAACAATTTCACATACAGTATTTCATTTGATCCTTATAGTAACCTCTAAGAGAAAGTACAATTACTAACCCAGCTCACAGATTATGAAACAAAGAGGTTAGGTAACTGGCCCAGCCCAGGGTTCCACTTCTAGTCAGAGCTGAAATTCAAACTAGTTTCTCTCACTCCAAAGCACATCCCATTTACACTTTATCATACTAACAATGTTCTAAATTGTGATGTTGGTGATGAGATTAGATATTTTGACTTGTCCCTCAACTGGGTCTTTTCAGTTTTCACTTTAGGGTTTTGAATTGAATCACCTTCTTTCTCATTACACCTCTGCTACGTAACCATTGAGACGAAGTGGGTAACAGAACATCTATTGCCTCTACGTATTTAATAGCTATCCCATGACCAAGAAAGGGACCTTTTAGCACAAAAACCATGGATCCACCTGACTGACAGGTCAAACTTCAGGGCCAGTTTTCCTTTTATCACTAGCAAATGAGCTTCCTTAGTTCTTCAGTACATGAGAACCTAGGTATACAACTGGGTTACTGAGCAACAGGTGGGTGAGAGGAACGGGGGAAAAGGTACATTTGAAAAAAGGGAACTCAGATAGAGGGTATTACACGAAGTGAAATAAGGCAGGCAGAAAAAGACAAATATGTGTGGTTTCACCTATATGTGGAATCTAAAAACAAAAAAGCAAAACATAAATGGACTCAAAGTAACAGAGACCAAAGAGATGGTTACCAGAGGGAGGGGTGGGTGAATATAGTCAAAAGGGGAAGGGGAATATAGTCAATAATATTTTGACAAGTTTACAAGGTGACAGATGGTTACTAGAATTAGTGGAAAGATCACCCTGTAAAGTATAAAAATGTCGAATCACTATATTGGACACCTGAAACAAATATAACCAGTATAAGATAATATAGAAACTATACTTAAAAAAATAAATTTAAAAAAAAATAAAAGGAAACTCAGGAAGTGATGAAGTTTTAGGGAACCAAGTGAGAACAAGAAAGATCACCCCCCAAAATCATATTATTGTGGCAATGAACAGTTTCCTTAGTGATTAAATGACTCCTATTTTCTCTCCTGTAAAATCATTTCTGTTTGCAGGGGCACGACCACATCTGTGCAGTTGTTGGTTCACTGCTACATACTGCCCCAGTGTTGAAAAACAAGTTATCCGCCAGTTTAAATATTATTGACTCATTGATTGAATTCTTTTACTAGGAGTGCATGTTGCGATGAAAGGCCAGTCTTCTGTTGTTTTTAGAATACTCCCTCTAGCTGTACGTGTACCTGCATTATTCTCCCGCTATCGTTCTTCAGTTTGCTATCATGGAGTACAGAATTTATGGTGGATTGTTGCCATTTGCTATAAAAACATATTAAGGTTATTGGAGAAATACACAGTCATCAGTCTTAAGTGGTTTTGTAAAACGTGGATGGTCACAAAAATGCAAATGACCATTTGCCTTTTTGCAAACCAGAAACAGATTCCATCTCCATAGGTTTATATAATGCTCACATTCATGAACATAGCTGTCATGAGTGCCACTCCTCGGGATGACTCAAAATACAGAGTGCAGCCAACAGCCTCATTGTAGAATGGGCTGGCCGCCCAAGAGTGTTTGCTCAGAAGGGAGAATGAGGAAGACTGACTCACTTGTGCTATCATTCCTACTAAAAGGCTACTCACGAGCCTTAAATACTCATGAATAATATCAGCAATAATAATGGCAGTTAACATTTAATTATTACATATTAGCACTGCCCTAAGTACTTTCTCTATAATCTCAACATCTCTCTCTCTCTCTCTCTCTCTCTCTTCCTTCCTTCCTTCCTTCAAAACAACTCTACAAAGTAGTTCTTTTTTTTTAACTTTTTTTTTTAATCCTCATTCGAGGATACTTTTCCATTGCTTTTTAGATAGAGTGGGAAAAGAGAGGGAGAGAGAGAGAGAAACATCAATGCAAGAGAGACACATCGATTGGTTGCCTCCTGCATGACCCTCATGGGACCCAGGGATCAAACCTGCAACCCAGGTACATGCCCTTGACCAGCACCCCTGGGACCCCTCATTCCTCCGGCTGATGCTCTAACCGCTAAGCCAAACCAGCCAGGGCAGCAGGTACTGTTTGTAACCCCATCTGTCAGATGATCTGGTAAGGCTAAGCTACCTTGGGAACATGAACTTGCCCAAAGTCACACCCTGGGCATTACCAAGCTGGGGCTGGAATATATGATTTTCGGACTTCAAAGCCCTGCAGCACAGCTTTCCTGGTACCACCTGGAGGTAGAAGGACTTGTCAGTCCTTCTACGACAGCTCCTAGCAATTTAGGGCTGACTTTTATACAACCTGGAGGAGACCACTTCAGCCGGCACCGGCCATACCAAGCATCAGAGCAGTTCAAGCCTCAATATCGATTTTTCAAGAAAACAGCCATCCTTCTTGGAAGGAAAATTACATGTAAAATCTTCTTGTATTTTTCATAATGAAAACACATTCAGTAATGTCTTTCTGGGTTTCACTTTACGTTTTCTGTCAGCATCCAATTAACACAATGGATGCAAGTTCCCAGTGGCCTCAGGTAGGTACAGGTTGACAAGAGCAGATGGATGCTGTGACAGGTGTGCTGACAGAGCCTCCGTCTGTCTACGAACACCTCGAACCTCAGGACAGCTGAGTCCTATTTTTGTCCTTTGGAAAATCTTGCTGTATGATTACTCAGACTTGCCTAAGAAGTCAGCTTACAGACTTTTCCATAAATATAGAAATACATACATATAAATAGATAGAAATGAAAAGGACAGTTCAAAATCCCACAATTAAATACAGTAAGTGCTCACTTGAAATTGTCAACAGGTTGTGACTTCAGGCAAATCCAATTTTACTGTAAGCTAATTGATATAAACAAGAGTTAGGCTCCTTCAGAATGTCATTAATGTTATAACAAAACGACATTGAATGAAACAGTGTTATCTGAGGGCCAGCTGTGATGTCTGTGATCCGGTATTTTGATCCTGTACAGTCCGGACTTTCCCCGAGAGACCAGGAGGGCTGATCACCAGAGCTTCCACCACCCTCTCCTGGGAAGAACTCGACACAGTTGTGTCATGGTAACATCTGGGTTTCTCTGGGAGCACAGTCAACTGAGCTAATAATAGTATCTATCCTGTATTGAGTACCTATTTTTTCCAAGCACTCTTTAAGTTATGAAATTATTTCCAATCAGTATACATCTGAATAATCATAGACTTTTATAACTATGTCATTCATGCCCTCTTGAATTTTCATATTTCCCTCTGCACCCTCTCTGCTTTGCTTTTAAGCATGAGTTTTCTTTTAATGTGTGTTGATTTTCCTTAAACAAAACAAAAACATCCCTGAGGGAAAAGCTCAATGGTGCCCTATCTTTTCATCAGTGTTACTGACAGAACCATTTTTAGGGAGATACTGTTTCCTTTTCTCTCACCACTCGAGATGACATTGGTCTCCTAAGACTTCTCCACCGAAGTGGCCGAGAAAAGACATACAACACACATCTGGGAGTAATCTGACACTACCTGCCACATGCATTCAAATTCTTTGTAGCATTTCATTTAAATTTTTTTAATCCTCACCCAAAGATTTTTTTCCCCATTTATTTTTAGATAGAGTAGGAGGAAGAGGGAGAGAGAGAAAAAAAAAAACACTGATGTGTGAGAGAAACACCAATTGGTTGCCTCCTGCATGACCCCTACCAGGGCCGGGGACCTAACTGCAACCGAGGTACGTGCCCTTGACCAGAATCAAACCTGAGACTCTGGTCCTTGGGCCAACATTCTAACCACTGAGCCAAACCAGCCAGGGTTCGTTTAGTTTTTAAATTCATAAGCATTTGCATTCTAGTCTATAATATAACCATATTTGTTTTACTATAGATATTAAGAGGATTTTTCCCTCAGACTCTGTAAGTCAAAGTGGACACTGCATGAATGTGCCCCACACCCATGCCCAGGCTTACACAGACAGCCCTGGGAACACTGATGTGCTTCTGGTGCTATAAAGCAAAAAGCATGGATTGTATATCAATTTTTATATTAAAGGGCATCAAAGTGTAGCTAATTGCCTAACGGGATCACTCACACGATTACCATTTAATTGTCTCTGACAGATGGAAGGCAACTTTCCTCAAAGGAAATCCTTTTTTTCTGTATGCCTTCCATATTATAAAATGATGATGAATGACTGCAAGAAAAACTTCCAAAGACCAGGTTGAACTTTTTGTGTGAAAAAGTTCTCATGTTTGGCAAGACAGATATTAAAGTGCTAAGATGTATAGAATCAATTTCCTTACCCAGAAGTTAATTTTACTTTTATGCTTTTCTTGACTCTGGAGTATAAATCTTCTCTAAGAACAGAACATTCCTTCTTTTCTTTCTTTCGTTTCTTCTTTCCCTTTCCTTTCCTTTCTCATTTATGTTGTCTAACAGGGATGAACACCAAAACTCTACCCCCAGGTGACTCCAGTCTGACTTTGGTTTTAATTGCATACTTAAAATTTACAAAGTGAATTAGTATCGCCCTTGTTTCTTCTATAGGCTTAAAATAATCTATTTAGAGTTTACTCACAGGAAGAGATTCCTGTAGCAACAAAGCAGCAGTGAAATATGGGACAGATGGTCAGAAGAATAGGTGTGTCTGGTCCTTCGGTTAGTACGTGTTCCTCACCTGTGAGACGAGATCACTAACAACACACCAAGTGTCCTTGTGACCAGTGCGGTTTGAGCTCATTTTAAAGTGTTGGACTAGTTACGTTCACACGGCAGAGCTCCGGTCTCACCTCCTGATGGCTAAGACACCTCAGGCAATGAGACCGCACGTTCAGCAGGCTGGTTTCTCAGAGGAAGTACAATAAGGCCCCTTCCTGAGGACCACGATCCCATGTTGGAAACGTGCATGGCGAAGCCGCACCTTCCCCAACACGAGGCAAGCACACACCCCCCGGGCCGTGCTCACCTGGGGCGGGCGGCACACAGGCACAGGAAAAGAGAGTATTGTAGCCCACTTTGAAGTCAGAGTTGATGGGGTAGTAATCAGCTAGTTTGATCATCTTCTTGAAAGCGTCGTAGATGAAGATGAAGCTGATCAGAGAAGAGAAGCCCTCCTCCGTGAAGCGGGTGAAGTACTGAACCAGGAAGCTGGCATCGGTTGCTACCAAAACGAAACACAGGAAGGCTGACCACAGGCCAATCCAAAGGCGAAACTCCAAATAGTCAAAACCATGGTCCCTGGAAAGAAGAAAGAAAGATTAGACTCCTTCTCCAAGTCCACCAAGAATAATATAAAACTACCGAATGTCTGCAGAAAGATTGCTAAAAATAGATCACTTTGAGCCACTAGATAAAAAGCTCATTCTTGATCTGTTTTCCGGAAAATATCAAGTTTAAGGATTTGGTCTAGTAATATTATTATGTTACCACAAAGAAATAATTCCAATTTAAGAAGAACACATCAAAAGCAGCCATGCCACTTGTATGTGAATAATTCATTAATTTTCTCACTCAAAAAATGTGTTCCCTGCCTTCATGGAGTGTATAAAGCAAACAGTCTGAAAACCTAACACTGGAACCCAGTATGTGCTCAATAAATGTTTGAGAGCTTTATTAGTGAATGAAAGCACTAAAATAAATATGTTCTCAGTCCCCAGGTCATTGCAGCCCACTGAGGGGGACAAACCGATAAACAATCTCACTATAAAATACTGAATACTAAGTGATATCTAAATGTTCACACAGTGTCATAGAAGGAGCAACGAATTCTGGTGGAGGACAGATGATGCCAGAAGCTGCAGGAAAAAAAAAACACAAGACAAAACAAAACAAAACTCAAGGTATTTAAGTAGGAACTTTCTGGGAAGACCAGGGAGAATCAGGCCAGGGAGAATCGAAAGAGTACTCGAAAATGCATGAGGCATGAGACCACAAGAAACACTCATTGTGGACAAAGTGCCACCAACACCAGGAGATGACACCAGAATCACAGGCTGCAGTCAGATCAAGAAAGGCAGTGCTGCCCTGGCCGGGGGCTCAGTTGGTTGGAGAGTCGTTCCGCACACTGAAAGGTTGAGGGGTTGATCCCCGGTCGGGGTGCGTATGGGAAACAACCAATCAATGTTTCATCAATGTTTCTCTCTCTCCCTCTCTCTTTTTCCCTCTCCTCCTTCCTTTCTCTCTAAAAATCAATAAAAACATATCCTTGGGTGAGGACTAAAAAAGAAAAGCAGTCTTGCCATGCTACAACCAGACGTGACCACTTCTCGATTCTTTTCTTTTTTAATTAAGTAATTTATTTATTTTTGTTACAGATGTTTCTCCTTTTCCCCCCACTGATTCCCCACTCCCCCTCCCTCCCCGCCCTGTCCCCAGCTTTGTTGTCCATGTCCATTGTTCATGCATACATGCATATAAGTTCTGTGGTTTATCTCTCCCCCACTACCCCCTCATCTGGGGATTGTCAGTCTGTACCCCACTTCCACATCTCTGGGACTGCCCCATTCCTCAGACTGTTATGTTCATTATATTCCACACATAAGTGAGATCACATGATACTTGTCTTTCTCTGTTTGGCTTGTTTCACTTAGGATAATACTTTCCAGGTCCCTCCATGTTATCTCAAAGGATAAGAGATCTTTCTTAATTACGGCTGCATAGTACTCCATTGTGTTACCTGTCGCCATGAGACCCTTCTCCTGAAGTGGGGTGTGCAAGGCACCGTGTGGCCACCTTTCCCCGTCTGTGCCTGCAGCACAGCGCTCCTAGGACAGGCCACCTCCATGTAAGGAGGCCACTGTTTCTCAACGCCTTTCTATTTCTTACCAGTGAAGAGCTCAAGGTTTACATTTAGGAAAATGTGGGTCAAGTACTGGCGGGTCCCCATTTTATACTGACTCATTTAAAGTTCTGTGGTTAGTGCTTTACGTATTTTTTCTCACAACATTTTTGTGATGAAAAACAGATAATAGTTATCACATTTCTTGTATGAGAAAAAGAAAGAAATCAATGATCATGAATCATACGTGCCTGAAGTTCCATATTCTTGCTTTTAGACAATGGATTTCTGATAATTGTTAGTGGTATATTTTAATACTTTCCCAAAGGCATCGTATCAACAGCTTCGCCATCAACAACCCAGTCTGGGCCAACAAGAACTCATTACCTAATTATTATAAGACCTCTTTACTGATACCCTTAATCATATCCCTGCTTGCCCTACTCAGAGCCATTTGTCACATCACAACCAAAACGATCTTTTTAAGTGTAAATCAGATACTCCCAAAACCTTTTGATAGTTTCTCATCGCTATCAGAATCAAATTCAAATTTTCTACCTCGCACAGTGCCTGGCACACAGAAGGTGTCCAATAAGGACTTGCTGGATGTATCAGTGCAAGCCTGTGCAACAGGACCTAAGACAGCTCCTGACATTGGTCTACGAGCTATCACATGTAAGTGGGAGATAACTGACTGAAAATTTTATAGAATGTTAGATTTAAAAGTTCCTTAGATAATGTGGTGGTAAATTTTATGTGTCAACTTGGCTGGGCTATGGGGTGCTCAGATATTCAGTCGAACATTCTGAGTGTTTCTGTAAGGATGTTTTTAGGTGAGATTAACATTTATATTGGTAGACTTTGAGAAAAGCAGAGTGCTTTCTGTAATGTGGGTGGGCTTCATCCAATCAAATGAAGGCCTAAATAGTACAAAAAGATTGGACCACCAGTCTCCTGGGTCTCTAGCCTGCTGCCTCACTCTGCAGATATTGGACTTGCCAGCCAATGTAATAATATGATCTAATTCCTTATGATAATTCTCTTTGTGTATGTGCATACACAGCCTACTGGTTCTGTTTCTCTGGAGAGTGCTGAGTAATACAGATACCGACTAGTCAAATATGCCTCCTTTTACAGAAGAGGACACCAAGGCCAATGGTAAGTCATTTACTCAATGCCAAGGTTTTACTGGCAGAGCTGGACCAGAAAGCAAATCTCTGTATTCTTGTTCTGATCCTTTTAAGAAGTACACCATGGTTCCCTACCTGTGTTTAGTGAGTGATAGGCTGGACCTGGACCGTAAGGGCCCTGTCCTTTATTTCCATCTCCTCACCAAGTCACACAAATTGGAATACATCACCAAAGCAGGAGATTACCAACACTGGAGCAGACAGTTATGGTCTACGGGTTTCCTAGAATCTTTCTGAAGACTCCCTTCACATTCCTTTCCAGGTTCCTTTATGTCTGAAACACTGCTGTTTAACCCTATGCACTGTTTAATCCTCATCTTTGTGAGATAAGTAGACTATAAAGAAAGCTGAATTCTAGAAATTAGAGAAAATTGACATTGTCACACAATGTGCCAGTGTCAGAGTCAGACCTAAGAAACATAGTTTTATTACTTCTGAGCCAACAGGTTTTTTAATTAAAATAAAATAAAAGTATTAACCAAGGACCAGCTTTGCTTACTAACAAGATAAAAAAAAGAGCAATCTTGATTTGTTCTAAGAATGCTAACAGTTGTTTATAGAATTGATGTTTATTGGACAGGATGATATATAAATCCATTAACTAGCTAATAATTAGGAACATTATCAGTTTGAGTTAAAGGACAAAATGCATGTATGAACTTTAAATCTTAGGACCTAAATAATATACCAAACTAGCTGCTCTAAAATACTTAAATACCCCCTGAGTAGCTTTATAAGAATAATCCAAATAAAATTCACTAAAACCAATGGTATTTCATTATGAAATGATATGTTTACAGCAGCAAGAAGAGGAAGAAGAGATGTGAATCTTTTTAAAACAAGTTGATCAATAGTAATGACTACAATAAAAAGGCAATCTTCATCCCATGAGACCATTAGTCCCTTTGATGCCAAATTTCAACAGCAATTAAGTTATAAAAAGTAACAGAAAATGACAGTAAGAGACCGAAAAAACTATGATGAATTAGAAGGAGAAAATAAGTTTATATCCTCATGGTACCATTACATTCAAATGTTCATAAGCATACTGAGTTCGTTTCTGAGTAGCATAAATCCAAGGATACAGACAAACTGAAACATACTACAGAAATCAATGTTCAGCTACTGACAAATAAATATTAACTCCTTCAGCTAAATGAATAAATGCAGTGATATAACAGAAGAAAATTGTTTGAAGGCTTCTAAATAAATTGTTCTAAGAATCTAAGAAAGAAATTGTTGAATGATCAAATGACAATTATATAGGCTAAACTCCAACTCTAATTATGAAGTTTCTACATGGCTTAGAACACAATTTTAAAACTTCTTTCAGATTCCTCACTAAAGGAAAACTAATCTACTTCTCTATTATTGGGATACAATGTATAAAAACAGTGCAAAAAAGACTGCAGAACTGGGGAAACAGTTGTGAGCTCTTTCCTTCGTTCTGTTACTAATTTTAAAAAGTGGCAGCACCTCCTTCATATCCTTTTATGACTCTCCAGCTTACAGGGCAAATACTGAAACCTATATCCATGTCAGAGAAAATCTGTGAATTATGTGCAGTTACTGTTTTGAGTCCACTGAACCTGCAAAACAAGAATTTAACTATTTTTACAAAAATCATAAAATATGTTTGGGAAGTCTGGACAAGACAGAGTAAAACAGTTCCTTTATTGAAGGACTTCTCAGATCCCTTCATAAGCTAACGTGTGAAGTGAACTACCACGAGCGAGATATAATATACAGCCTTTCCCAGACTTACTAATCAATGAGACACATTTTGGGAATCAGCGATCTATACAAATGTTCTGCATCTAGACTAAATATTAGCTCTGTCATTATAATATTTAAGTATTTGGTGAAGCACTGTAAATAGAATAATAAGGTTTGCCACAACAAGAAACATTACAGAAACCCTGTTGATATCCATCACCGAGTTACCAAATTTCTTGTTGCTTTACAACTATTTTCAAATACATCCCTTGGAACCATGTTTATGTTACCAGTTATGATGAAACAGAAAGGAAAGTGAGAAAGGAACTTGCTTAGAGAAAGGAAATAATCTCTCTCCTACAGTTATCTGAAGTAAACCGAGATGCAAATATTTTCTGTAGATTAAGGCTCTGATCACATTGCAGCCAATAAATCTTTCTGCAAAGGTTGCGCGTGTTTGTTCCTGTTTATAGTACATGCTTGTTTAATCTTTCCACAAAAGGCTTTCTTGTCTCACACAATGTTTTCTTAAACATATACAAACTGTTTGACTCTTTCTATAAACTGACATGAACAGAATTCTTTCCAATGTCCTTCTGAGAATCATAATGGAGGAGGGACGTGTAGTAATGAGCCATAGAAAACTCACATTTTTAAAATTTAGAACTTCACGTTCTCAGAAGACCCTCACTGATGTTCTCAACCCCATTTTCAAAACATTAGTTTTAAACCCTCATCCCCTCTTCCACCTGGTGATCATTTCTGATGGCACACAGTTCCAAAGGCTACTCCAAGAGTCCCCAAGTCCTAGAGGTATTATGTAAGTAATGACATTTCTAACATTAAAATCCATAAAATATATAGTAATATAAGCAAATCCCAACAAGGAGTACGAGAAAGTTTTATGAAATTCTGCAATCTGCTTAAGGACTGATGTCTGCCAGCAAAGGCAATTCTCTCTTAGAGGTATTAAGTTCATTAGAAAGAGGCCAGAATACCCAATTTTATTTCAAATCCATTTGTGTGCTAATGTAGCCACTTGGATAATTTGCTTAACTTGATTGTTTCCTTCTTACAGCAGATCCATCTATTTCTAAAAGACAACATTAGTATCAGAATTGTCATGCTCATTAGTAGGGTCTAGTGAGTCTGTAAGAGGCAGAGGCTCTGGAGGCAGAAAGCAGGGATTCATACCCCAGCCCTGCTAACAACTGGTCATACCACTTCAGTAACCTACTCTGCACCAGCTTGCTCATCTATACAACAGAATGTGGTCCTACCTCATAGGATTGCTACAAGAATTAAACGAGGAAGCATATGTAATGCACACAGAATAATATTGGGACATGGTCAGCCCTCAACAAATATTAGTTATTACTCAGCTGAGTCTCACAATGTATCTTTAGTTAAAAACACAGTCACTGAGGTTAGGAGCGGTAAACCAGAGCAGCAGCCAGGCTCTTTCAGGAATGAGCCATGAGACCTTGAACAAGACATCTCATTTCTCTGGTGTGTCAGTCAGGATCACAGCAGGAAATAGAAGTCATTCTCAAATGGGTTTCTGAAACAAACTTAATCAATGAGCTATTTACAGGGGTGTGAGTAGGAGAATGGCGAGGCACTCAGAGGCTAGCAGCATCAGGAAGTCATTTCAACCTCCTGGCTTGAAAAGGCCAAGGAAGGAATCGAGCCACCAGAGCCTGGTGCGGACTACCGCCAGAGGAGGAGCCACCCTAGTGGGACTATACTCAAGGGACAAGCCAATGCAAGGCTACAGTGCTAAAGCAGAGAGGGGGAGGTGGGGGAGGTGGGCACACATCCAGACCTCTCTTCACTCCTGTCTTATTGGTGCTCCACACTCAACCAGACCCAACGGGTAGCCAGAGGGCAAAGGGGCCCGAGCAGGACAATAAGGGGCAGAGAATCATGGGGGAGGGCAAGTAGATAATATATAGGCATAAATTGGATCAAGCGTACAATGACTATTGGACTACCTAATCTCTCAGGTCTTTCCAACTCCAACTCTTACAATTCCTGTATTTTGATCTACTGAACTACTACTCTGTGCTCTATCTAGACAATAAATGCTCTAGAGTTAAACAATCCTAATTTATAATTAGATATGTATATACATACTTGCTGAAATTAAATAGAAGCCTCTCAAAAACTAGAACAGGTCCTGTGCTGCTCAGAATAGTGAGTGGTTGACCGGCAAAGAGGCAGAAGATGGCTCCGGAGACGGCCGTGCCCAGGAAGCTCTCCAACACGCCCTAAGAGAGGAAACACAGGTGTCAAAAGAAACATGTCATTTTTCTTCTTATATGTGATATCATCAGGGAAAGTAAGCCACATGAATATGCTATTATGAGGGCCAGAGCAAACACATCAGATATGAGCAGTAGATTCTCATCAATGAGTATCATCACTTAGTTCACCATACATATGATCTAGCAACTCCTTCCTACCCCAGGGGCTGAACTGCACAAAGAACAATGTGACTAAAATGACAGGTGGTTGACTACCGAAGGTGAAAGATGCCTCTGATCTGTTCCGAAAATATTACTGAAGCTTCTGCACATAGTCACATTATATAATGCCAACCAGTGGGGGAAGTGACACCATCACTTTGGATGGCATTTTTCTCTTTGTGGTTACCTTCAGTGTTCACTGCAGCCTGATTTCACCATGCACATAGCAGGTACTTGCAAGTAGCTCTATTTTATGCAGGAAAGCTATTCTTTTAGAAGAAATCTTTTCGAGTGCAGAGGGGAGCAAGGAGACAGAAAGTGAGTTTTCTTCCAACCTGTAATCGCTAAGACATCAATTCCAAAAAATATTCTTATTACATATTTATTGTCCAATGTTAACTTCATGGGAGCTTCAATTTTACTTTATCTTAGAGGAATTCAATGTGCAGGGACAAAAATAGCTAAATCTTTGTGGCCATATCTCCCTGTAGTTATATCTTTGGAAATCAACTTATTCTTTTCCTTTAGCAAAACAAGAACAAAGATGAATGAGCTACAAAGCATCACCAACTACAAAATTATGCTAACTTTTTTAAGCTCATCCTTTGGGACCAATGCCTTAGTTGATGCAAACTAGCCTGTTTCCTATATTTCTCATCATTTCAAACTTGAGTTAGAGAAGTATGTGCTTATTTGTAAAAAGGTCCTTTGGTAAATTTAAAATAGTATTTCATCAAGAGATGATTTTTACTTATTTTTATTGTTTTTTTCTTTATTGGTATTTTTAGAGTGAGAGGGAGAGACAGATACAAACATTGATAAGAGAGAACATCGATTGGCCGACTCCTGCATGCCCCCCACTGGGGATCGGGCCCATAACCTGGGTATGTGTCCTGACTGGGAATTAAACCAGTGACTTCTTGGTGCATTGGTCCACCCTCAACCACTGAGCCACCCCAGCCAGACTCCAGAGATGACTTTTAAACATAAAAGTATGAGAGAGATCCTTAGTCTATCTATAAGGCTGTAAATCTGAATCACTAAATGTGTAAAACAATTTTAAATGAGTAAAGATATTCTATAGCTTTAAAAGACATGAAATATATTTAGTGGTAAATAAATTTATATCGTAAAGAAAAATTATGTGATCTCTGTAACTTTAAGTGTACACCAAAATAAAATGGTACTAGGAAGATTTTCTCTCTTCAACTGAACAATAATTATTTGTTTGTAGAAGTATGATATATGTTTACATAAACCAAGCCACCTCTCAATCTGAACCACCCTCTGAGTGCAGCAGGCTGGATTTTTGGGAACCTGAGATTTTCCCAGGCCCTGCCCTGCCCTCCCGTGACCTATCCATCTGCCACTGTCGGCCTCACTGAATCAATCACCCCTTTCCACTGCCCAGAAAGTTCTACAGCAACTTTTCATTCACTTTCATATGATATACATAAAATGATTACAAAGAAATTGTTTTTTTTAACCAACTTATAGAACTAAAGTATACTAAGTGCTATGTCCACTCAAAGGCCATCCCTAGAAGACCCTTATTATGATTTCTCAAAATAGTTCTTGCACCGCTGCAGAACAAGCAATATTCTCCTTAAAATGACATTAGAAATAGCACATCCTCATTTTTAAGGGTGGAGTTCAGTTCAGAAAACAGACACAGCCCTGGCTGGCGTGGCTCCATGGTTAGAGTATTGGCCAGCACACCAAAGGGTTGTGGGTTTGATTCTGTCAAGGGCATGTACCTGGGTTGCAGGTTCAATCACCAGCCCCCATTGGAGCATGTGCAGGAGGCAAGCAATCAATATGTCTCTCTCATATCAATGTTTCTCTCTCTCCCCTTCCCTTCCACTCTCTCTAAAAATTAATGGAAAAAAATATCCTCAGCTGAGGATTAAAAAAAAAAAGAAAGCAAACAGACACAAATCCTTTAGTGTCACGCCATGTAATAATGGAGCTTGGGTGGGGATGGGGTAAAAAAACAAGGGTTGACAAGCAATAAGACTGGCTTCTCACTTAAAGAGCACACACATTCTGAAACATTCAGGACAATTTCTTCTTCCATCTAAGAAGCCTGGTAGAAAGAAGGAGATCCTATTTCCACAGATGTAAATTCGCTGCTTGGCTGAAGGGTGCCATCTTGTTATTTTATAGCCATTCCATATGTAATTAAGAATAGCCACCCCATTCCTCCTCAGAGGGACAGGAAGCGGAACAGCAAGGTTAGCAGAACCAGACAGCACGTGTGCAGAGACAGATTCCCTAGTGCCCAACAAATAGTATCAGTCAGAATCTCTTACACCTGAAGACAACGCGTTTCAGGTGGTTAACTGAATGAACACGTCCACACTCAGTGAGGCACAAGTCTTTGGAGTACAGGTACCTGCCCATCCACCACCTCACCCTCAGCAAGGAGAAAAATGTGTCTTCACCGGGGATTTTCTTGGATATGCAGTTTTCTACTCCTTACGCATTGACTTTGGGGCTCTTATGCTTCATAATTTATCTTTCTTTTTCATAACTTAGTGTGTGTTAGCATGAAAGGGTAGGACTAGAATCCTCCACGTGGCAGGACAAGCCACACCGGGTACATGTAATGGGTGGTGTTACATTGCAGCATTCTTTATCAAACATGCAATGCCTATTTTTCTTCACTATTTCAGAGTCAAAATACAGTACAGCCTGGGTATAAAAGAGAACGTGAAGGAAGAAAGGAGGAATGTGACATTAGGGATCTCTGCTTGATCTGACATCACGTTTAGTGACTGTAAGGACGAGAACGGGGTCTCCCAGTGTCATCATAGTTCTCTTCCTCTCGTCGTGCAGTACACCATCCCGCATGTGCTCTGCAGGCACTCGGGCAGTGCTCAAGGAACCCAAGAAGGCCCAAATCACACCCCACATTCCACTTATCAAAAGTTAACAGCCATTGTTGCTCATTCAGTAAAGATAACAGCTACTTTCTTCCAGAAAATGGCTTTGATTTATGAATGCTATGTGACAGCTAAAAGGCAGATTATTTTTATTTCAGTACTTGATCCTTTGGTAAGTGCTAGATTTTCCATTTTGTTGCTGACAATTTTGAAACAGAGAAATGTGATTTATTATACACACTGCACTGGAAAGAAACTTGCTTGAACTTAGAGATGCTTCCAGCATTTCTGGGAAAAGAACTATTTTCACCATATTTTGACATGTTACTCTTGACAATACAGAAATTTTAAAAAATTATCTCATGTAATGAATAACTTTAGTTTAACTGTACATAGAATTGAAAGCAATTTATAAAGTGAACTATCAGAAACCCCTTTTCTGATTATATTCAGTGTTCACTGATGTAAAAAAGGAAAATTATGTGTGGATGTGCATATTTTTAGTAGCTATAATTCATAAAGATACTTCTAACCTTCTTTCCCACAGACGAACAAACTCCCTGGCAATTCATGAGAATGTAGATGGCAGAGCTCATTTTGTAGCAGAATCAGATACTATAAAGCACCCCAGCTCCATTTTGGTTGGGCTTTTATTTTATTCTATTTCTGATCAAGTGTTGCCCACTAGAGACTAGTCTAAAGAACAAACAACTGGCAGTCAGCAAATCTAGAGTCTAGACTTCATTCTGCCACCAAAGAGCTGATGATGTTGAGAATGTCACTTAACCTTTGTCAACTTTAATTTTCTCATGGAGGAAAAAAACATTGAGCTGATAAAGTATAACAATGGACTCTGGAGATAGACAATCTCAAGTTTATGTCTAGATTGTAACATTTACCCAATAACTTGAGGCTAGTTATTTAATCTCTCTATGGCTTAGTATATGTATTAGATTAGATGATATATGTAAAGTGCTTAGCACAGTCTCTGATAGAGAATATATTTTTAATGAATAGTAACATATAATAATGTATTTATTTAGAGATAAGATGAAGTTGAACTAGATGATTTCCAAAGTCATTTCCAGGTAGCTCAGCCCAAATAGCAAGTGTTGGAGTCAGAAATACCTGAGTTTATTTATTTTATTATTTTTTTTATTTTGATTTTAGAGAGAGAGGAAGGGAGAGGGGGAGAGAGATAGAAACACTGATGAGAGAGAACATCACCTGGCTGCCTCCTGCAGGCCCCCCACTGGGGATCAGGCCCACAACCTGGGCATGTGCCTGACCGGGAATTAAGCCGGCGACCTCTTGGTGCCTGGGTAGATGCTCAACCACTGAGCCACGCCAGCCGGGCAGGAATAGCTGAGTTTAAATCTCCACTCCACCAGTCACCGGACTCTCTAACTCCTAATTCTCTCTTCTAGAATATCAATGGTTATTTTACAGGATATTCATTTGGACTAAATAAGACAATAATATATAAAGAGCTAACAATAAAGTAGAGATACAATAAAAGATCAGTTCCCTTTCCTTCAGCTGCTTTTCATCCTCTTCTTCCCAGACTGCCTCTATTTCTTCTCTTTTCTTCAAAACAGAAAGGAAAACGGAGTGACATACAAAGATTAAGATTAATCCTCAGAAGAAGTGGGGGGACTCTTTAGGGCCTCAGTATTCCCCAGAGCAAGCCCCAGATCAACAGCAGCCGGGGGCCAACACCACGGCCGGGAGCGGCTCCTTTCCATCCCTCGTGTCACTAAACACGTGCAATCGACTACAACACACCAAAATTGTTTTACTGCACAGCAATGAAGTAAAAACCCACATCCCAAATCATTTCTGAGCATCTCTCTGCTTATCTCCGGGTGTGAATGTAAACCAAAGATGGCCCTTGTTTCACAAAACAGCCAAGAAAAT